ACTTACAGCTCTATGGAGTCATCAAACATAGAGGGTGGTCCTTTAATTGCACTATTATCTTTGATCCCCGGATCGATTAAAAATATAAAGGAAGACATCCTAAGATTCATGCTGTCGGCAGCTAGAGTTGATATATCTCGTAGATGGAAATCCACGGAAACACCTTTAGAAAGTTGGAGAAATATAATGGAGGAGATAAGATATATGGAAGAATTGAGGGCATGAGATGTCGATAGGAAGGATAAATATGATAAGACCTGGGAGGAGTGGGAAACATGTAGAGTCTAGAAGAGCGCGGGAAACGGTAGATAGGGGGGAAGAGAGAGATATAGAAGAGAAAAGTGTCATTAGTTGGATATAAAATAAAAATCATATTAAAATAAAAATCATATTAAAATAAAATTAACACATGGGACTCTTTCTGGTTGAGGGGGGTACAGATGATCCCTAAAAAGTGATGTAATATTGACATGGCATTCGATCTGTTAGATAGGGCAGTTAAGGGGTGAGAGTGGATAGAATGTTGGAGGGAGGAAGTTAAGGGGGATAGCGGATAATTATAGATGGGAAGATTAAAGAAATGGGAAAGGGTAGGGGTACACAAGTTTGTTTGGTTTTGATATATAAAGGAGGGAGGGATAGGGAGGGAGAGATAATTCACTAGGGGTGTAATAATAAACTAATAATATAGATTCCCAATTTAGGGCATCCTAAAACACAGGGAGGAGAGAGAGGGATTATACACAGGAAAAGGTGAGAAGGGGGTGAGAAAAGGGAGAGTAGGGGATAATGCACTATTTACTTGTAGTAAGTAAGATGTAGCACTGTTATTGTAGATATAAGGACACATATATATATATGAACAATAGAAGGGGAGAGTGGATTTGAGAACTTAGAATGGGCTTGAGTAAGCATAATAGAAGAGTTGGTCTGAGGACTTGATTGATTTTGTGGTGTTTGCACAAATGTTCACATAGAGACACAGGTCTATAAGACTGAATTATCCCTCCTAGGGAGAGTAAGTGTGAGAGAGAGGATGTAAGAAGGGTGTGGGCTAATGCATATATGTTTAATAAGCAAAACGGAAACATATATGAATTTTATAGTATTAATGACATGCCTGTATAATTTAATTGAATGTGAATAAGTGTATATTGATGAAACAAGAATAAAAACATATTAAACAAAAAAAAAAATAACACCATCAAGATGCAGATTTCAGCCATTTTCTGCCTTATCAACTGTCACTTATAAACAGTAGGCCTTGGTTCTATTAGTAATCCAATTCTTGAAGGGACCCTTCAGCTAGTTTTTCAAACATTAACTCTTGCTCATTGTGAACCAATTGAGTCAAAAGCGTTGAGGTATCTTACCATGAAAACAGCCTTTTTAATAACTGTAACTTTGGCTAGAAGGGTCTGGGCCCTTTTAGTAATAGAACCATTTTGCAGCATATTCCAGTACAAAGTACTGATATCAGTCTTAGAATGCTTGCATAAAGTTGTCTCCAATTTCTATCAGGACATGAAGCGAAATCTGCCTGCTTTATTTCCAAACACATGCTCAGAAGAAGTTTGGGAGAAGCTTAATGTGGTCCATCTGGCCTCTACCTATCTCTAGAGAACAGCATCGATAAGAAACTCTGACAGATTATTTGTGAAGAAAGGGTGAGGCAGCTGCGGCTAGAACAGTTTCATTTTGGATCATCAGAATCATCCAGTTCTTCTATAATGGTAATCATATCACTCCCCCTCTACAGTTCTCAGTGCACTCCACCAGAGGCGGGGCAACCTCCTGGGCATCCGTGGCTTGGGTTTCATTTAAGGAGATTCGCAAGGCAGCTAGCTGGTCTTCACAGAATTCCTTCCTGTCCTATTGGATGTGGTGGCCAGGGCAAATTCATGTTATGGTTGTGCCATACTTTTCTTTGTTTTTAGTCATTGTTGATAAAACTATTATATTTTTTGCACCTACGTTTTTTTCTCCTGTGATTATTATTATTGCTGCCTAATTCCCATCAGTGTTGTCATGGAGAAGAGCAAGCAGTATGCAAAGTTGTATTCTTTATACTTACCCTAACTTTCCTTTCATTGCGCCTCATTATGGCAGCACTGTTTCCCGTCCTTGTGCTTTCTTGTAGGACTGTCTTATGGTAATGCATGTGTGAAGGTAAGGAATTCTTTTATAGCTATGCTGGAGGGCTGTCCGGGGGTCAAGGGGATGGTGGCATACCCATCAGTTTTGCCATGGTATGACATGGGGAAAGGAAAATTACGATAAGTATAAAGAAATCAATTTTCTGTAATACTTACCAAGGAAAAATGGAGAGACCAGTAAACAAAAGCATCATAATTTCCTGTGCAGAGAAATTGAATTTAGTGGACATTGCTTCAAGGTAAGCATGGTTGCTGTCTTAAAATAAGATAGAGAAAAGGTCATATACGCCCTTTAAGTAAAGTCTCTCAAAACTAAAGCTGTGGTTAAGGGTGCTGTATCTACAAATAAAATAATTATTGGCTTAATGAATATTTAACCATCGCTATCAGTGGCGAACCTAAGTAACAAAGGGCCCTAGTGCAAGATTTTTTTTATGCCCCCCCCCCCCCTTCAATAAAAACCACAAACACAGCGCTCGGCCGGCTTTCACTTTCTCTCCTCCCCGCTGGGACACAGAGCAGCGCCCAGTGGGGAGGAAAGAAAGCAGGGATGCCATTTTCGGCCAATATGTTTTGGCGGCCAATATATGGTGCATCCCTAATATGCGCTTGTCCCGGGAACATAAAATAATAAAACTTTTAAAAATGTCACCTTACCTTAGCCTGGTGGTCAGTGGGGCTCCCTGGACCCTGGTTGTTGGGGGGGGTCTGTTGTGGCCGCAGCTGCTCCATCCCTCTGCCGCCTTTCTGCACATCCGACACTCCCGGCCAGTGGGGGGCGCCTGCCTTGGGCGCAGGGGCAGACTGACCGTGAGTCTTCTGCAGGCCGCACCAGCGGTAGTTTCGCCACTGATTGCTATACTCTTGTGTAGTAACTTATGTTCCTGTTTTATAAGCCAAAGCGTGATTATTTTTCCTTTAGCTCAAGATTATAGTGCAGGCCATACATGGGAGAATACAGTATCATTTAATCATTTCAAACAATTGCTTTCTTGAAAACAATAGTTTGACATAACAAATAAATACATTAACGTGATTGAACTTGATTGAGTTTTCCATCAGGGCTGATTGTTCCTTTTTGCCAATCAATACACCCATTTGGTGATGTGATTCTTTTGTCAAAACTATCATTAAATTTAACAATCACATTGTACATGTGTGACCAGCATTAGGTTTGCCCTTTCTAATCCTACATTTCTCATAATAGGTGTCATTACAAATAAATTATGAGCCATTGAACTTGGCTGCAAGTGTTGTAAAATAATAGCTCTAAGCGGGAGAAGCATGAGGAGAGAACCCTACATAGCCACCAAAGTCAAACTTTCCCTACAAAATTAGAAATGTAATTTCACTAGCGGTTCTTACTTGAAGTGCAACTCACACCATAAATACATATTTTGTCAGTTTTGGTTAAGTGTGGAGAAGGGTTAGCACTTCTATCATATTTTTATTCCCACTAACTTTCCATTAGGGAGATTTTTCTTCACTTTCTCTCATGGTAATAGGAAATAATCTGATAAGGCTGTAGACAACAATGAGGTGAGTGAAAATCACTCAGCCTCATAGTTCCAGCCAGCGTGTGACAATTAAACTGTCACACGTCAGCTTAATAGATCGGGAAGTGAGTGAACACATACCGTCGCTCGCTGACTTCTCGATCATCTCCCTGCAGAGAGCCTTTACTTTCAGTCACTGCTCCCCGCAGGGATTCCCCCCCTCCCTGCTCCAATCCTCCAGCGCTGAATGGAGGAACGGACGGGGGGGCGGGTACAGCTGGCTCTGCCACTAGATAGTCAGAGCCCGCTGTCACTCACGCAGCTGGGTGGATCTCGACAGTAATGTTGGGATCCGTCCCGGCTGCGGCGGTCTCAGTATACCGTAAGCTGTAGCTCGCGATATACTGAGCTTTGGGTCACGGGAGGACGCTAGTATATGTCCTCCCGTGACCCTAAAGAGAACTATGGGGAAAAGCACTTACCACATAGTTCTCTTTTAACTAGATTTTTCCTTTTTTACTGTCTTTGGTCCTGTTGGAGATACCCTCACTACCAGCCTTGTTCTGTTGCGAAGAGGGCATTAAAGCAAACCTGATAATTAGCCCTGCATGGGTAAAGCACAGGTTTGCTTCAAGATGAATTATGAATAATACCATATCTTTCTACATAAAGAGTTAGAGCTCAGAAGTCACATTTTGATTTACCTTTGAGAACCACTGTAATTTGTTGTCATGGTTTTTTTTTTATTGTTGGTGCACTTCTTTAAGCAGCCCCCAGTTCTCTTTATGAATTTTCAGGTAATGCTCCCTGCTAACTTTTATTTCCTGTTGAAAGACCGATCATTTCAGCCCAGGTGCATTTATGTGATATAACCCTGCAGACTCTACCACCTGTGTCACTGGAAGATAGAAGATTCTGAAGCTCTTGAATCTAAGTGATGACTTCAACCCAACTTCAGAGAAACATTCCCAGCGACAGGATCCAAGGGGAAAAAAACAGGGTGCTGTAGAGGGATGGGTTAGGTTTAAATTTATCAGACTTTCCCAGAGAGGGTTGTTAACATGTGATTTTACCATGGCTAAAAGTAGAAGAGCACACTATATCATTATTTGCTAGCCTCCTATAGGAGGTCATTTTTACACTATGTTCTCTTGTTCACTACACTGATGAAGAATGTAGTTTTACTAGTAGAGCTACCAATTTTAGAAAGATGTTAGCATTTGTACGTGCCATCTATTCCTTCCAAGGGTAGATCACATTTGCTGAATTTCTGGAATTGTTTATCATTTATGTTTTTCTTTGCTAAGACATCTTAGGTTTATGCTAAAGCATTACATTTCTATTTCAGAGTCCCTTGCCTTGACCTTGGAAAACTTGGGGATTCAGATGATGAGGTAATGGTCCATTAGTGTGTAAAATGAACACATTTTTGTTAATTATATGAAGCGGGATGGTGTTTGATCTCTGCTATTGGTGGGTCCCCTCTTGCAGCCTGTACTTGCTTTGGCTGGTCTTCTGCCACGTGCTGCTTTTGTGTCAGTTACATTCTTGATATGATGTATTGCTCAAAGTTTCCATTTTTCTTTTTGTCTTGAAAAAATACAATAAAAAATATCTGATTTAAAAAAAAATGACACACATGCCCACCCACACACTTGAATAGAGCTACATGTTTGAAATGGGTTTTTCTTTCCTGATAAATGATTGCGCTACAACATATGAACAGTGTCATTATATCTGCCCAGTTATGCTTGGAGACTGGAATAACACTACTGGTTATTTCTAAGGTATTTGAATAGCTAACAGAAATTTAAAAATCAGAATTGCCATCACAGTGTTAAATCTATGTCCTAGATGCCAGAGCACTCTGAGCTTTCCTGTATTGCATACTTACAAGAGACCATTACGCTTTGTTTAGACATTACAGATTTGTGGGTCAGCATTGTTCAGACATCAGATAGCAAATGCTGGTATTTTTACTAAGGGCCAACAATTTGACATGCCTTAAATTTAGACAGCTATTGAAATAGGAATCTTTTACTGCAGCACATTATTCTGGCAACTGAACTAAATTTAAACTATTGAAACTGCTTAACTGTAAACAAAAATGTTCAGATTTCACGTACATTTTTGCTACAACTTAAACCACAAAGTGCATTGAGCATTAAGCATAAATACCTAAATATAAATAGGGAAAATATTTGTCTAATAAATATATGTATTTATTTTATTTGTCAAATATTGTTTTATGATATGTATTAATATGCATAACAGAGTCAGTTTAAGCTCTGAAAGGTTCCTGATTGACCAGAACAGGTAGCTCAAGAGAGGTATCTTACAGGTTTCGAAGAAGTGGGTTTGGTCACTAAAGAAAAGAGTCTGGAGCACGGAGGTGCTCCTGTGTGGAATCAAAACTGCTGGGGCAGAGATTTCAGTGAACACCCTGTGAGTGTTCAGACCAGGGCAGCTGTACTGAAACCAGGACTCTTTGCTGATGAGGCAGCATCACAAGTATGACTAAAGGAGTCAGAGAGTAGGATGCATGGATTGTCTGTGTCTAGGCATGTTTGTGTTAAGAACAGTCAGGCACCTGTTACAGTTGAAAAGGGAACCTGAGCAACAGCAGAAAGGAGGCTTATGGGAGGAACCCTACACAGACATGGAGAGAATATGCATACTGCTGGCTGCTCCACCTAGAATTCAAGCCCAAGGACCGAGATAGCATCCGTGTATATTGTTATTTCTTTAGGGCATGAACATAATAATTTAAAACTATTATTTTCTACCATAGGACGCATACATGCCATTAGATAAAGGCTACCCAAGGTTTGGTCCTCCAGATTCATCTTCCACTGTTAGTTGGGGTACACCACTTAATACACCATATGCTCAACATTACCAACAACAACAGGTAAGTGTCTGCAAATTTGAATTAAAATAATATTCTAATATACAAGTTTGTTATATATTTGTGTTTTCCAGTTTGTTTTTTCAAATATGTGACTTTTTTGGCCTTATTTATTAAGCAGTGTACTGTATACAGGCATAGTAAGGTGGCTGTACTTACCTTCCAAGCATTGCATCCCTGCACCCTCATATGCTCCCTTAAAATTCTTGTGTCATTCTGTTCCTGGTGGATCTTGAACTGCATTAAGGACCCACCACTTGTATGACAGCATTTTGGCCTAGGGATTGGCTGTTGAGTCCTGGGTTGGGCTTTGCTCCCCATATCTGTAAGTACAAAGTTTCTATCTCTGCCCTTCTGGGTAAACAGGGCAGTGGGGGAGCATATGGATGGTAAGTACAGGCTCCTTTTTACCCCTGCTGTCTAAGGTTTCATTCACACATCTACCGTGCATCCAGGGATTATGATCTTTTTCTAACTGCATGTGATTGTATCACATGCAATTACATGCAGAGCGTCAGCAGACTACCACTTTCAGATGCGGCCATTGTCACCTGATCATTAACTTGAACGAGTAACAGCGTCCTCTTTTGAACTGCATATTTGGGATTCCTGCTGTAGAAATTCGTAGGTTGCTGCTGCAGGAATACCAAAATGCACATTCACTTCATGTGTGAATGTAACCTCAGGAATTGACTACTTTATTGTAATTGAGCTTAGTGTCTGCTTCATTATTGCAGTCCAGTTTGTGGCAGCTGTGAGTTGTAGGAATTCTGAGATTCTACTTATGCCCTAGTTTCGTTTGGGTGAGTTGTTAAAGGTTGTGACAAAGTGAACATATTACAAATAACAATACTAAGCAGTTAACTATGCCCATGGGGACTTACTCACCTTTATCTACTTAGTGCCCACTACCATTAACATATATATGCAAAACAAAATGTTTTTTTCTTGGTAATAAATGTATTATTACAGATGTATTTAAACATAACATATTTCCTGCATAAAAATCCATCTGTATATAGTGTTGTACTCCATCACCAAACACACCTACTTAGTTATATATCCTGCTCCATTGAGGAGCATAGGGACAAAGTCAAACACTTCCACTGTTGACGTTTCCCAGCTCTCGATGTCTTCTTTCGGTTTCTGTAACAAGTTTTATATATCGGGTACGATAGGTAGTTAACGTGGAGAACCCTATCCTCGTAATGGGGCTGCCGTCTTAGATATAGCTGGCAAGGAACAGCATTTCATAATACAGCCGTTCGTTCTGAAACAGACGCTGTTTGAGCCACCCCTAACATGGGATGAGACGCTTTGAAATAAAATAGATAAAAAAACCACAAGGTACACAAATATATATTAAATGCTACCCTAATCTCGTTAAATCTGTATTTGTCAAGCTCCCATACTGGTGCTATTAAATCTCTCTATAATGGGTATTCATAAGAAATCAGAATGTCATATTGTGCAATTCCTTTTTTTAATTTTTTTATACATCAGTCCTCTTCAAATAGGCTATACCAACCATTAGCTGTATGACTCTTCAGTTATATTATCCCTCTATTTTCTCAGCAGCTAAAACCAAGTGTACTGATGCAGCATAATAACATAATAAATATTTATCCCAAGTGTTTCTTCCGTGTGGTTACTTAGTAGTGAAAAGTTTATATATTTAGTCCTTACTTTAACCACCACAGGATACTTTGTATGAAAACCCTTAATCCCAATGCCAATTCACTTCATTTCCATCGGGATTTTTATCCCTCGTGATCTTGTCTCCGCTTAGACCAGCATCAAGGATACATTAAACACAATCCTCTCTTATAGTGAGTACTCCCTGTCTGATCCAATCAATGCTGTACATAGGGCGCCCTCTTAATCTCATATACACTGAGATATCCACATGCTTATACAAACTAGTTTGCAATTGTGTTTCATCCACACATTGGTTTCCACTGAGAGTCATCAGGAGTGCATCCGGACTACTAGTTGGGAATCAGCACTTTTTGAAGACTGTCACATATGAGGATAAAGTCCTGGTATCAAATTTGAACCATCACAATGATAGAGCATGCCAAGACACCTTCTGCTAGTGCACTTAATCCACTGAAATGTTTAGTCTCAGAGAGAGACTTCCTCAGGACGCATCTCTGAGATGAAAAATTTATTAGACTAGTGTTATAAGAGGGAATGGGAAAATCTATACTGTTCTGTTAAATTCAAGAAGTATAACAATAAGAAGCATAATAATTAACCCATAAATCTATCTCTGATCAGGTGAATTATGGGGAGACCAAGGTAGATGGCATTTTAACAATGTATAAACTTGTGGAACTGGAGGAGGCCTTTTTTATTGGTATGAGCTATGATTGAAAACGTCAACATGTTTTCTTTGCTGTTGTTTTTTTTTTAGCGATCTTCGGTTTAGGAATCAATGTATTGTTCACATTTATTGTAAGTGTTAATAGTTCTAATTGTGTTTTATTATAGACTGTTACAAGACATGTTCCAGCCAATACCGAGGTAAGAGAATACATTGTGCAATGGGCTGTCAGAATACAATAACCGGCAGGGGAGATTCCTCCATCCATGCTCTTTAGCTGGGTGGGGATTTTTTCTTGTTCAGCCCCACAGCTGCTTTTTACAGAGTATTGCCAGCTATGGAATCATGGATTTACCGATCTGCATCTCATATAGACTCAGCTGGTCAATTTCTTCTCTTGTAACTGTAAGGTCCTGGCTTCAGTCCATTAAGAATGATGTTCGTGTACTTCCCTACTGGGATTTGAAAACACAAATCTGACTTTGTTTGGGCTGATTAATTAGAGCCACAGCGGCTTTCTTACTAGAACGGCTACTTTGTAACTCTTATGTGCCCCAACACATAATTTTTGTGTAACTCCCCTATGGGTAGCTGAAATATAAATCTGAATTTGCATAGCATAACTAATCAGATTTGTAGTTTACTAATCCCTCATGCATCTAAACTGCAAGGTACTGAAATCAATTCTTGAAGCCAGTGGCGACTCTAGGAACAATATATAGAGGGGGGGGCACATAAGATACCACAGTCAAAATGGGGGGGCACTAATAATTTTCACCACTAAATCATACCACTGAAAATAACTAAAGAAGTATATATAAATAAGATTACAAAATACGAGAGTAATGCGGTATGCGGTGATACCTTTTTATTGTACTAACCTAATACTTAGAAGACAAGCTTTCAAGAGTTTTTCTTTCTTCCTCAGGTATTGCTTCAGACTTGAGAAAGAGAGGAAAACTCTCAAAAGCTTTTCAATTTCAGCAAACACCAGTGCTGTGTAAATAATCACCTATAGCGATAGAGGACTACAAATCCCATTAATACATTATACAGTAATGCAGAATAATACCATCAGCTATAGAGGACTACAAATCCGAGCAAAACATAGAGCAATGCAGAATAATAGTATATACATTTGCCACATACTCTGTGCTGCTGCTCTACTCTGGGGTTCTGGCCTAATGTCTTGGGCAGAGCTTGTCAGGAGGGGTGGGGCGGGTCTTAGTAAGGGGAGATGTGTGGGTGGCAGAAGCGCTGTAAGCAGGCATTGCGTGGCTCCCCCGAAGGCTGCCGCAAGGTCCCCAGCCGGACCTAAGACACCTAAGTCAATTTGAAAAATGTAAGTGCTGGTATCGGTTTTTAGTATTGGGACAGAGGTCAGTTATGTGTGCGGATGACAGCAGTGTAACGCAGAGTGCGGAAGACAGCAGTGTAACGCAGAGTGTGGATGACAGCAGTGTAATGCAGAGTGCGGATGACAGCAGTGTAACGCAGAGTGCGGATGACAGCAGTGTAACGCAGAGTGCGGATGACAGCAGTGTAACGCAGAGTGCGGATGACAGCAGTGTAACGCAGAGTGCGGATGACAGCAGTGTAACGCAGAGTGCGGATGACAGCAGTGTAACGCAGAGTGCGGATGACAGCAGTGTAACGCAGAGTGCGGATGACAGCAGTGTAACGCAGAGTGCGGATGACAGCAATGTAACGCAAAGTGCGGATGACAACGGTGTAAGATAGAAAGGGACTTACAGTTTTGATGTACTAGATCATGTGCTCTGTCATGCCCTCTTCTTCCTCTCCGGGTGGTGGGTGGGTGGGGGGAAACAGCGATGTTTCTCCCATGTGAAGCTCCAAGCAGCCTTGATGCGTCTTCTCTGTCCCTACTCTGCTAAAATACATGAGCAGCCAATAAAGAGACCGCTGCCGTACAGTGAAACTGTACGGCAGCAGTCGATTTAAAGGGCAATTGCCCCCCCTGTAGAGACGCCTATGCTTGAAGCATCACATTTCTGGTAGTCCTGTCTGGGTCATGGAAATACAAATTTACATTTGCTTAATGTCATCTTCTAAAGCCATGATCTCTCTTCCTGCAAAACTGTTGTCTTGTATCCATCAGATATTGAATTCAATCCTAAGTGTTTGTCACTGTCCTGTCTGGGTATCCTAAAGGGTATTTTTAGCCAAATCTTTATATTGAGTTTAGGATAGAGCAAGGAAAGGGTTTTATTGTTGTCTGTGTCCATAATAGGGACATTTCCACTAACTTTCTTTTAGAATAGGAAGTCATTGGGATTCTCTGCAATGGGGGACACAAACATGAACACATATTTAGTGGAGTGGGGAAAGATTAGAACATCGAACAATGTTTTCATTTCTGTCTGTGCTTGCTTTTCCGTCCCTTTGATACCTGTATTTCTTGTATGGGCATCACAGGGACAGGAAGTGTCACAAACAGAAATGAAAACCTGAAAGAAATGTTAAAGGAGAACTATGAGGTGAGTGCTTTTCACTCACCTCATAGTCCTAGCCGACCTGTGACAATGAGACTGTCACAGGTTGGCTCAGTAGATCGGGAGGTGAGCGAACACATACCGGGTTCGCTCACCTCTCGATCCTGTCACGGCTCTCTGCCGTGACAGGGGAAGGGATGGATTCCCCTCTCCCTGCTCCGATCCGCCAGCACTGACTGGCGGAACGGACGGGGGAGGGGGCGGGTACAGCTGGCTCTGCCTCTAGATAGGCAGAGCCAGCTGTCACTCACGCAGCTGGGCGGATCCAGAAATCGATGTCGGGATCCGCTCCGGCTGCGGCGTCTCAGTATACCGCGAGCTGTAGCTCGCGGTATACTGAGCCTAGGGTGACAGGAGGACGCTAGTTTGTGTCCTCCCGTTACCCTAAGGAGAACTATGAGGAAAAGCCCTGACCCCATAGTTCTCCTTTAACTCATCTCCACTCTTTCCAAAATGAAAAAATATTGGAGTTAGTTGTTACAATTTACTGAACTCTTTCTGAAAATGCTACTTACTTGGCTGCCTCTGGTTTTAATAGTTTGATTCACTTATCCTGAATAAGCATTGTTAGACCAAAAGATCAGAACTCCTGATGTTATTCCAGGTCAGTGACATTGAATCTCATGAAGCTGCCGGATCAATATAAAAGCAACAAAGCTAGCAATTTTAGAGGAAGAACAATGACAGCCTCCATGTTTTTCCTCTACCATACAAGAAATGGACATATGGATTAATAGAGTATACATTAATTCCTGTCTTTTCTCCAGCTTTCTCATACACAGCTGAGAACAGTCCCTGAGAACTTGCCATCACCATCAGACAGATTCCGCATGAAGTACCAGCAGTATGAAGAGGAGATGAAGAACAACTATAAACAGTACACTCTGAGGGGAAAGGCCAAAGATGCACAGCATTTTGCAAAACAGGAGGTAATTACAAATGTCAATCCACTTTCATTTACTAAAAACAAATTAACTGCCACATTTTTCTCCTTAATCCATCATGATAACTAGAGGGTGTGCATTTCTATCTTGGCAGTATCATTTTCATATGTCGTGTTCATATGTTCTATTTCCAGGAATCCTGCTGTACTCATTACACATATACAAATTATTTCAGTGGAATTCCTATGGGGTTCCTGTGGTTTACTATATCAGCCAAGGCAAATACAATGTTTTAGGCACCCAATGATAAATACACAAGTAATAAAAAAAATTATTTAGGAAAATGTTATTTACGTTACAAATAAAAGCACCTATTAGACATTCTTCATCGAATAATGATTCCAACAACTGATGTTGAAGCAATGAAGGGGACCTCTTTGTCTAAATGAACATCTCCAAGCGCACCACCTGCCAATGCTGAATATCATAGCAATACTAATTCTAGAAAAGCTAATAGGATGACTTCCATCTCTCAATGCATCCATGCATATGTTTTAGTTCATACATGTTCGGAGGTAATAAGAGGGGTAATCTCTACACGTTTCACAGCTTGAGGTCCTGCTTCCTCAGGAGATAACTAGAGGTATGTTCATTGATGTTAGGCTGCCGTGCTATCACTCAGATGTGTAATAAGGGTATAAACAGGGGCACACAGAGGGGAGGACAACCACCTAGTGTGCCAAGGCTCATTCTGTAAGGGAGTGATCTCACGAAGACTCAACATTTTTAAAATAGTATCTTCAAACTGGTGGCAGGGTACAAGTAACATTTAACAATCAAATAATTCTCCTGCTAAGGTATAGACTACAACAGAGGTAAAGCCGTTCCTCTCCTCAGCCAGTTGTTATCAGCAGATGGCAGTGTATTTGATATTATAAGGTTATTTTCCATTGGAATCAATCATAGGGAAGGGAAGAAGCTTACCCTAAAAGATAAATAGACTAAACAACTTCCACATATATATTTCAGTATTCGGTGTCTAGGCCTGTTCATCACCCCACCTCCAGAGTGCCCAGCTTCAACCTATCCCTCATTGGGGTCTGCTGTCAGACCCAGTCCAGTGTGGTTTTAAGCATTTATATATTTGGATGCGTACCTGCAAGTAATTTACTGTCACATTTCCAGATACAATTTGATTTTCCTGCAAAAGTAAAATACTTAAAATGGCTTTCATGTACCAGAAATTAAATAATTCAATGGCAGTTTTAGAAGCAGCTGTAATCCAGTTTCTGGTATGGCCTTTACATTACTTGCACTGCTATTTCACACAAGTGTGTATGATAATTTATGTGGAGTAAACTGGGCAGACACCCCTGGTACAATCTTGATTTAAAAAACAACTAGTTCATTTGAAAAATCCAGCCTGGCTACTCAAGTGTTGCCCCCAAGAATCTGTGAGAAAAGGTTAGCTGAACTGATTTTTTCACTCTTGAGCCAAATATAGATAGAGGATATATTCTCCTATACAGAACAGGGGGTATACTGTATATTTAGCCTATATAAATACATAAATGGTCCATATAGTAAACATAGTGTAAATTTTAAGTTCATTTCAAAAGACAAGGGAGCACTATTTGTGCCTGGAGGAAAAGCGGTTTAAGGAGAACTATGAGGTGAGTGAAAGTCACTCAACTTTATAGTTGGAGCCGACATGTGACAATGAAACTGCCACAGGTCGGCTCAATAGATTGGGAAGTGAGCGAACACATACTGTCGCTCGCTCACTTCTCGATCATCTCGCTGCAGAGAGCACTCACGGCTCCCTGCAGGGATTCCCCCCTTCCCCTGTCCGATCCTCCAGCGCTGACTGGAGGAACGAGCGGGGGAGGGGACGGGTACAGCTGGCTCTGCCTCTAGAGAGGCAGAGCCAGCTGTCGATCACGCAGCTGGGTGGATCTCGACGGTAATGTCAGGATCCGTCCCTGCTGCGGTGGTCTCTGTATACTGCGAGTTGTAGCTTGCGATATACTGAGCTTTGGGTCTCGGGAGGACGCTAGTTTGTGTCCTCCCGTGATCCTTAGGAGAACTATGGGGAAAAACACTTACCCTATAGTTCTCCTTTAATGTCCTCATTCAAAAATCTTTTTTAACATAATGAGATTGTGTGATAGTTATCCACAAGAGTTAGTTCTAAGTAACTCAGTAGACTGTTTCAAAAAAGATCTGGATGGGTTTCTAAACATACAAAACATAACTGGTGATTTATCTATAAGAAATATATATCAGAAATACCACTGCAGATTGTTTTTTACAAGAAGTATCCGATTGCCTATTTGGATTAGGTTATGGCTCAGTCATCTCATGTTGCGGCATGCTGCGTTAGACAACCCACTCACATTAAAGGGGCCGAAATGGACTTTAATGCAAGAAAAAACGAAGGCTTGCTGCATTTTTTGGAGCATACCGTAAGGCAAAATGCACGATGCACATCATTCATTTTTAAAAGAGTTATGAGTTAGAGTTATGAGGAGAGTGAGAGTTAACGTGCAGCATAACACCAGGATGGGAAGGTGTGAGGGGGCCTCAGACGGGATTGTCTGTTATTACATTTAGACAAGAAGATTATTATTATATGATCCAATCAAAATCATGCTAATTGGGCAACAATCATCTTACATCTATGGTCGTTTTTATTGTATTAAAAAAAATCTAAGGGGTAACCAACCACCTGTATGGAAATACACATCTAGAAAGTTTGGTAGTTGATGTGATTTAAAGTAATTGTAACCTTTCTTTGATTATCAGAATCGCATTGGGTACAGTTTTATGCCCATAGGTATGATCAACTTCTTTTCCCCAAATAACATTTATTGTTAACTATCAGATCTCAACGCTAAGTATTAGGCCTCTTGCACACACAACGCAAGAGCAAAATTGTATATTGCGTATATGCGTGCACTATATGCAATCCCAGAATGCATCCATCGTAATAGAAATTTTAATGAACTGTGCGCGCACATGCGCGTAAAATGCACAGAAATACATTGCCTGGACCCATCTTGGGTCCATTCTGTTTTTGTGCATCTTTACGCAGCGCAAATATACGGCTCCATACGTAGCTCAGGGGTGTGGAATTCGTATGGCCTGACGCCCGGGACATGTAGTTCCGGGCAAGTGACTGGGGTGCCATTAGAAAATAATGGCACTGACAGCACAATCGGCAGGGGTGTGCGACCCGTGACTGCCTGGTCATCGTGCACGAAACCGAGCGGATGGCTGGGTGGTCACGGAATCGCACACCACCGCCGATCGTGCTGTCAGTGCCATTATTTTCTAATGGCACGCAGTCGTGCCGGGCAGATTGCGCATTTTCCTGCTGCAATACTGGCCGGACGATCCCACACGATCACAGTTAAAAACACTGCGCGGTGCATGTTGTGAAAATAGGTACATCTACCTTTTTTTCAGCGATTGCCACGCAGATGTAACCCCAAGTCTGCACCAACCCTAAAGGGTAAATTCACTTTCCCAAGTAATTTGGGAAAATGGAATTACCCGCACAAATCTCCCTCCCACTATACTTACCTTTCGGCGAACGGTCCTTCCCCTCCACCAGTACGGGTGTACTATCTGTACCTGTTCCATGTATTCTGAATTTCACTCGCAAATTGCAAGCACTCGTTGGTCAACGCGGTCACCTGACGGCACTGACCAATGAGAAGCGCTTCTTAGCACTGCTAAATACGGTTTTGGTTAAAATTATTTTTTTTGTATCAGGACAAGTAGATTGTCATGAGGGACAAGTAGATTCGGCACCCGCTTTAGTCCTTGGACAAGTAGTTTTTTCAAAAATTTCCACACCCCTGTAGCTATATGTATGGAGTCATTTTTTTCCATGCTGCATATGGGACAATATGCACGTACGCCTTAGGGATGCACCGATATATGAGCCGCCGAAACATATCGGCTTAACATGGCACTTTTGGCATAATGCCGAAAGTGCCATTTTCTGGCCTATACAGCGGTGCATCCTATTCTCTCCTCCTCGCTGGGCGCTGGTCTGTGTCCCAGCGGGGAGTAAAGAAACTGTGACAGGCGGCCGAGCGGGAGGAGAGCGCTGTGAGCGGTCACCGTCTCTCCTCCCACACCGCTCAGCCTCCTGTCACAGATCGGCAGAGCGGTGTGTGGGTGGAGACAGCCCACACTGTCACAGGAGGCTGAGCTCTCCTCCCTACTCCACTCACTCAGCCTCCTGTGACAGCGTGTCAGGAAGAAGAGTGAGGTACAAGCAGTCAGTGATCGCTGAGTGTTTGTAAATAATTGAGGACATAGCATGTTGACTATATCCTCAATTATATTTACATCACTTCCTGTTCATTCATGATTGTGGTTATAGTAAACATAATCTGTCCTCAAGTTGTGAATGAACAGGAACACTCAGTATAGAGGATTCCTGTTCAATTATAAGAGGGGAAGCAGAAAAAGAGATAGAGGACTTTGTGTCCTCAATCTCTTTTTCTATTTTAAAAGGGAAGTATGAAATCTCAGTTAAGTCAATCAGAAGAGCAGCCATCTGTGCAAAGTACTGTAATATTATTAGTTGACCAGCAGAGGTCTCACCACAGCTATAGAATTAAATACACAGTTGCAAATGTGATTTCCAATTGTGGAGAGACAGTTGTATATAAATGCTTATGTATACAGGGATAGTCTTTTAGGACTTGTTCACACCATGTCCAGACCAGATCTGGAGCAGCTCTGCAAACGTAGTGCAGTGCATTGTTGCTGCGTTTTACATGTTTCCAGTAAGTTGTTTTTTTTTTAGCTTAAAAGAGAACTATGGGGTAAGTGTTTTTCCCCATAGTCCTCTTAAGTAAAAAAAAACTCTGGTCCAGATCTGGTTTGGACATGGTGTGAACAAACCCTTAGGCTATGTTCACACCATGTCCAGAGCAGGTTTGGGGCAGATCTGCAAATGCAGTGCAGTGCATTTTTGCCACGATTTTGCTGCTTTTTTTTCTTCCTAGCTTAAGGGCCCTGCACAC